AAGTCGGCAGATTATCTTCAGATTTTTTATATAGGCAGTATAAAATACATCTTAAAAGAGATGAATATAGAATAATTTGTAAAAGGTCAATACTGAAGAATCATATTTCTGTTTAGGTAGAACATTACAGTAGTAGATATGGAAAATTTTTCATATTTATTTGTTGTCAAGAGCAGCATAGGGGCCAGCAGGTACCATAGTAGTTAAGGTGCTGGACTCCAAAGTGGCTGATCGCGATTCAAGTCCTGAACCCAGAAGCTTGAAAATCATACCAGGCATGTGTGTATTCATGCCCAAAATGCTGACAGGAGAATGGAGGAGAAGGGACATGGCCATTGCCCCTCAGGGATAATATCTCACTTTCCCTCTCTCTGTGTCTGTCTCTCTCTGGCAAGTGTACACGCTCTATGGCAAAACCTAAAACAAAACAAAACAAAACAAAACAAAACAAAACAAAACTTCAAATGATCAAAATATGAGTTGAAACATATTGTTATAAGAAGTCTATAAAGTCTGTAAAAATTTATCTTAAAAACCTAAAATTTTCAGAGTGGCCGTGCAGAACAGTGGTTAAGCCCTGTGCACAAGGAGCTGGATCCCACATGATCAACTGTGTTTCAAATCCTGGCTTCAGCAGTTTGAACACAACAGGTGTATAAGTGCATATGTGCCCCAAATTCTGACAGGACGGGGAAATGGAGAGAAGGGACTACAGTATGACCATGCCCTATTGTCAGGGTACTTTCTCTCTTGCTCTCTGTCAAGTACACACACCTCAGGCAATTAAAAACAAATGCACAAACAAACACAATGAAAACCCTATAATTTTCCACTGAATAGAGATCCATAGATACATATAGATAAAATAATACTTTTCATAAAGTTTTATATTTTATCTGAAGAGAATGCTATACAAAAATCACTGAAACTATAAAGTACTATAAAACCATTTAAAAATATATTAAAATATGTGTAGTAATATGTTCAATATAGTACTCTGAGTGACACTAAGATTTATCATTAACATTTATATTTATAATCTATTTTTGACATCTTGACAATTTCTTTTCATTCTATTTCACTGGCTATACTTTTTTTTTTTTTTTTTTTTTTTTACCTTATCAAGTACTGTAGTCAGGTGCTCCTTGCAAGACAAAGACTGGAACAGTTCTATACACAATAGAGATGATACTGCATGAGGAAGCAACCGGTGGATGATAAGAGGAGAAGTGGCGATTCCAAATATGAGTATAAGTGGAAATTCATGTAGATGTTGACTAGTTCCAGAGAAAGATACAAAAGTGGAATTTCTTTAGCAAATATGTTTCAATGCATCATATTTCAAGAAAAGAAAAAACTTCAATGCCTATTTTATAAGATACTGTTAATGAGTATCACTCCAATTCTAATTTTCCAAGTCATTCATTTTCTTCTGCTAAAGTAACAGAAATAATTACTTCCCAGATATTCTTGCTCTGATACCAATCAATCAACAGATCATTTCATTTTATGTAGAAGAACACAGAAATTCAGAAAGGTAAAGTGCCTGCCTCTAAGGTTATACAATCTCAAGTGTTAGAAGACGTGTTAGACACCATTCAATTTAACATTCACATTTTTCACCAAAAATGTGAGCACTGTCTAGTTTTCCTCACAGCTAGATATATAGCCTATGCTTTAAGAGTTCAGTGACATGAAGCACATTAATTTTCAAGGTAACTTACTCTGTTTATGGACATTTCTAACAGATATTATCCCACCCAGCTCTAACAGCCAACAATTAGAACACTTGTTTTACATATCATGTAAGACATTTTTTAATAGACATTAGTAAAACATAGTAACACCCATTCATTTCATTCTTAATTCAAACATATTGAATGTGATTTGTTCCTGGCATTGCCACAATAAACACAATGGACATCAACAAAGTAAAAAGCACCATCTCTGAGGGCTACTGCAGGCCAAAGTCTTTCCTATCATAGTTGGTAATTTCACTTCTCTCCCATTATCTACTGCATTTCAAATATTTGAGCTTTGTGATGTTCCATCTTCAAAGAAATAAAGTATCTGGACTCTGGACTCACTCACTGCTTTAAGCCTTTTTTTTTTCTTTTGATAGGTAAAGTAATTGTAAGTCTAAGCTCCAAAAAAGTGCAGCTATTCTCTCGCTACTTTATACTGTGTACTTTCCTCAGACAGTAAGCCATTCAAGTGAGTATAAGAAAAGTCCTAGAAAGCTAGCCTCATGGCCTAGTGGTTAAGACAACTGGATCCCACATGGCCAATTAAGGTTTAGATCTTGGTCCTGGCAGCTTGAAAAACCCATGGAAAATGCACGTGCGTGCATGTGTGCCCCAAATTGAGACAGGATGAAAAAATGGAAAAGGGACTGCAGGACGACCATGCCCCATTGGGGGGGGTACTTTTTCCATCTCTCTGTCTCTCCATCTCTCTCTGGTAAGCACATGCACCCACTGGCAATTAAAAAAAAAGTCCTAAGATACAGAACTCTTAAAATTAATGGAAAAACAAAAGACAATCTCAAAATTGAAACTGTAGGTACATTAGTAAATTACAGCACAATAAAGCTTAGGCAAATGTAGCCATAACTACTATGACAAGCTGACATACAGAAGAAGCCAAAATAAATCTAGCCTAAAAATTACATCATGGAGAAACTATGTCACTGGATTTTAAAATAGGATTAGTTATTTTAATTCTGAGTCTCACAGGATTGCCTTGAAGACCTAATGAGATCATGAAAGCAGTTTTTCAAAAGTATTATACAGATATAAGATAATTTAACTTAGAAATTATTTTTGCTCTATGAAACAATATGCATGCAACTCAGAGCCTTTAAGGATGACAGGTAACAGAAAGTAAGACCTGTTAAAAATATCTCAACCTGGGGGGACCAGCAGTTAGCATAATGGCTATGTCGTTGGACTCCCACTTAGTCGACTGTGGTTTGAGTCCTGGACCCCATGGCTTAAACTCACACGTGTGCGTGCGTGTACGTGCGTGCGTGTACGTGCGTGCATGCCCAAGATCACAAGAGGAGAATGGAGGAGAAGGGACTGCGGTGTGGCCATCCCCACTGGGGGGATGATTTCTTGCTTTCTGTCTCTCTGTCTTTCTCTGCCTGTCTGGCAAGCACACGCGCCCTATAGCAAAAAAAAAAAAAAAAAAAAAAAAAAACTCCCAAAAAAAAAAAAAAAAAAAAA